GAACCCCCATTCCCTATACTACTACTCTAGAGAGATGACTGTGTTTTAGAAATCTATTTTTAAAATTAGCTCCAGCATATATACCTATTTGCAGAGCCATTAAAGCAAAAGACAATAAGCAATATAGGAGGTCTAAGAAAAAATATCCAACATTGAAATGACTTTATTTGTTTCTTATTATTTTCATCAAGAACATGGAACTTATTTTTGAGTTATCCATGTGTTGTTTGTAGTTGACAAAACTATACCCATAATTTTTTTCCATCTTGGAATGACCTATCTTGATCCTATCTTGATCTTATCTCTTTTGCCTTCAATAATCTTCTTTTAAATGTGTCTTTCTTGGTATTGCAAGATGTGTTGTATTAGGGTTATTGTATTGCAGGGTATTGTTTAGCTGCAAACTCATACGTTCGTGGCTATTGTTTTGTCTTCATGGCTCAGGTGTCCTGCAACACCAAGAAAGAGCCTTTTAGATAGGTGTATATAGTGGAGTTAAAGAATACATGAGAGAAATATGTTGTCTACCTGTGTAGAGACTGGGACTAGCTTGGTTAAACTCTCTTTATAGTCGTTCATCATTCTGTTCGTTAATATATCTGCATAAATTGTCTTTTAATGAGGAAATGGATGAACTCCACGTTCTCAAGCTAAAATGTTTTTAAAACATATTCTAGCTTACTCCATTTATCAGATTCTACTTCTTTCCTTGATGATACTTTTATTCATACTTCTAGGCTGAGTGTTTTTCCAATTCAGTAGAATTTCTCGAATCCGATTCTTTGACCTGGTTTCCAGCAAAAGTAATGGTAAGTACCACTGTGATCAACTTTAACTGGAATTTTACTGATAAATTTTTAGTTTTTAATACTATTTATAATTTCTATTTTTAGGGAACACCTGCGACATGGAGAGATTTTCATACTGCTACTGCTGTAGGGACTGATATGTATATATTTGGTGGCAGAGGTGGGTTGTATTTAATTTAACTTTTGTTTTAATTTATTTAGATTTTATTTATTATTCTGACCTTTACAGGATCCCTATAAACATTGGTGGATCCAGGGGGTGGTAACAGGGTTCCTGTGACCCCCCTTGAAGGAGTTCTTACCTATATATGATGCCCAATTCATATAAAATGGTTCTCAATATTGAACATTTTATGTATAATAATAATATGACCCTCTTTATCACACTCTCCTGGTTACAGTAATTTTGTTCTCTAGTAACGTAAAGCTGTGAGAAAAGTCCTTGCAGCCAAATCTTTTTTTGTGTTGTTTCTAGTGTTGCTATACTACGATTCATATATTTATAACTAAAAGCACAAAATGATAAGATGTGTTAAAAATTGTTAAAATACATGGTAACTTCCAGGAATGCTACTTCCTGTTATCTGGGAATATTCTAAAAAAAAAAACGTCCTTTTTTCACGAGGGTAGCACTTAATAGCCAGTGGCTAACAAACCTGTGGTCCTCATTCTGTGATCGAATTGGAATTTAGGAGTTGATTTTTGCGGAGGGAGGAGAACCCGGAAAACCCACAAAGCGTACAGGATAGAACCAACAAAGAGCTCTACTCATATACAACACTGAACCCGGCAGGACTCAAACTTGGGTCGCATTGATGAGAGGCGAGCGCTCACAGCGCTACACCACCCGTGCAAGCTTCCCACAAAACAGACAAAAGATAAAAAAATTTCCCAGATTAGCTAAAAGGGGAAGGGCATTGCCCCATCGGTTCCCCCTAAAATGTTCCCCTTCTGTATCTTGACAATTGATTTAAATTGTTTAATACAGTGTATTTGTGTTTCAGGTGATAACCTTGGTCAATTCCACTCTGGCCATGAGGTTTACACCAATGCCGTATCTATTTTTGATACAGGTAAATGACATTTTATCAGTTTTTTGAAAAGATGCTTACCCAAAGTTTATCTGAAAACATGAAATATTAAGTTAAAATTACACTCATGACCCTTGCCATTGAAAATGAATATGGAATGAAATCTGTTTCTTTGGTTTTAGTGAAAAACTCTTGGCATATTACTTCAACTACTGGAGAAATTCCTCTTGGGCGACGTAGTCATTCAACAGGTAAATACACATCTGTATTTACTCGTTTAGAAGCAGCAGCGTGTATTTAATTTTTCATGGTCCATGGCCAGCTGCGGCATTTATTTGGGGGCAGGGTTTATTCAAAAATTAACTTATTCAATAAGAATTCTTGAAAAAGAACCTAGAGTAAATTAGTACTATCAGTTATAAGTTGTAGTACGTTGCTGGTTTAAACTTAAAATATGCTTTTTCTTTATCATTTATCATAGATTTTTATTTCCTCAAATAAATGCCCCACCGCAGATGCGGCGTCTATTCGGGGGCAGCGTCGAAAAATGCATGCACGTGTCTCTGTACTGTGATATAAATATGCTGGGGAGCTATAGAGCACGAGACAAACAAGCATAAGGAATAAGAGGCATATTCAGTGTTTTTTTTGCTTTTTGAGTGCTCTATCGCTCCCAGAGTGTTTATATCATAGTACAGAGACATGAGCAGCTGTCTTCTATTGCTTTTATAAAATATCTTTGATCAATTTTTAATGATTTTTCCATTAACTAAACTTTCTTTTAAACATAAAATACTAAAATGTCTTGACTTTTTGTTCTATTCTTTTTGTATTATTCCCATTTATTTCCTATTTGTTTCCCATTTACTTCATATTTCCCGTCGTTAATTCATATTTATTTCCCATTTTTTCCCTATTTAATTCCCATTTACTTCCTATTTTCCTCCTTCATTCTTATTTATTTCCCATTTACTTCCCATTTATGAGTTGACTGTTATCTTAGCCAAAAAGGGTAATGAAGCGTTAATTTTGACTTCTAGTGTTATATGGCAAGTACATCTACATGTTTGGTGGTTATAATGGGCTGGTTCGACAACACTACAATGAGATGTACAGATTAGACACCACTTCTCATGTATGGAGCAAAGTAGCAACACACGGCAAGGGACCATGTCCCAGACGGAGACACTGTTGCTGTTTGATTGGATCAAGTGCTGTTATCTTTGGAGGAACAAGGTTTGTATGTTGTTCGTCTTGTTAGTGGTACAGTACATAAACAATAGATTTTATCGCTACCCTGATCGTGAGGTGGTACAGTATCTACTCGGGGCTGATCAAAGTCAGCACGTAGGTAACTCACAGATTGAATAGAACTAATTTGTCAGTGTTTACCATTAGAGTATCACTTCTCTGTTTAACAGTTGTGCATGAGAACGACAACACATGAATATGGATACAACGCAAGCAAAATTTCTCTAGGGAATATGGTTTCTGACTTGGGAAAACGTTGCAGCAAGACGAATTAGGGTCTTTTAAGTTGTGACGTATTTCCGGGTCCAATCACACAATAATCTTGCCACAACTTATTCCCAGGATTTATTCTCTACCTTCAACAATTAGATATATGAAAAGAAAACCTTGCTACGAAGRAAAAAAATCAGTAATATCTCTGTAGAAGTAATTATTAATTAGGACCCGGTCGGAAGTCGTTTTTCGTTCAAATTACGTCATACTTGACAGCTCTATTAGCAATGAGTCCGAATGGGCTATGAGTCAATAGGCTGCAGGTCAAATGGGCTATTGGCTCATAGGCCATGAGGGCGAGAGGACCGATTGTTTTAATCAAATTCAACTAGCGATGGTCAAAGATATGGCACTTATCGTTAGTACTAGTAGGCTATTATTAACTTATATGAATGGTATTTCGTTTTTAGTCCTATACAAGATGCAACCTCCGACGACGAGCAAAGTCTTCAAGATCATTCCGACCTCTACATCCTGGACTTCAGTAAGAAAATAAACGAATCTGTAGTTGTCCCTTATATCCTCCATCTGTAGTAGTTAATAGTCCCTTTTCTCATTTGGTAAATACTGCTGTGTTCTATGACTACAGACTCATGTACACAGACTTAGATTGACTTAAGAGCAAATTATTTGCAAAAGTCGACTGTAATGCAAAGAATGTGCAGCTTCAACGATACCAATGTTTTGGAATCCCACGAACTTTTAATGGTATCTGTGAATAACTGACGTATGAACGAGTTCAAGCCTGTGCAAATGAGTCTGTGGTCTTCTAAAACAGCGGCATGTATCGAATGCGAAACTGGTGTGTTCTTGATATTTATATCATTTGAAGAGTAGATTCTCATGTGTAACGTGTGACTACCAGAGAATGAGTTTTGAATTGAAACTTGATCTGCATTTTTTGATTTTTTGTAGGTCCTTCCTTGAGAACCATGTGTAAATTAGCCATTGTTAAATACAAACTTGACGTTAGTTGTCTACCAAAAGTGTTGAGGTACGGTCTCATTCATCTGCGCATGTCTGTTGTTATCATGCAGTCTCTCTGCATCGCCCCTACTGATGAGAGCTAGATTATACTCCCACTTATGCATTGAATGTAGCAAGGGACGCTCATTAGCAAATGTGCTTTCCTGTCGTAATTAAGCTAATATTCAATTTTTAAATCTCATTTTACCTAAGGGACCGTCGTAATTTGGGAAACCTGTGTCGGTATCCCTTACCTCTCATCTGCTTGTAATTTGTTTACTTTTTAAATTTATTTTTACTATTATTTGATGCAAGGTAAAAGCTAAATAAATAAACAGGGATGTGTCGCTGTATAGGGTCTACGTTCGTCCCCTGCCCCCCTACACTAAGCACAAACACAGGGTATTATGGTGTATTTTAGTCTCGGATAGGATACACAAATGGTTAGTAAGGATTCCAAAGGCCCAATGGAAGATAGGCGACCACCTCCTCCCCCTTCCCTCCACGCTGTTTCCGAGCACTGCCAGTGCAGATGCAAACACAAACATGCAGAAAAGTAAAACTATTTGATCCTTATGTTTGCGTTACTAGTAAATACCGCTAAAAGTTTAACCACATCTTAACAATATCACGTGGTTAAGAAATGACGACGAAAACTCAGAAACGGTGCTTTGATTGATGATAAACCCTGTCTTCGTTGTGGTAAAAGTTCAACCACATTTCACAATAGATTTACCCTTTGCTTTGATTTAACGTCTCATCGTTTGTTAAGTTTTTCCAATCTGGCTGGAATACTTTATTCTGTCCTGGAAAACCCATGGTACTAGTAAAAAAATCGAAATTTTTAAAGGTTTTTAGCTAACGGGAAATTTACTTGAATGATTTATAATTTATTACATCTTTCTTCTCTTTTTCAGAACCGAACTTTCTATCTTAGAACCAAGCTACACGCCAGAAAGATCAACACACGGCTAGCCGGAGTTAGAACCAAACAACTTTACATTTGAATCAAAATATCCGGATAATCCAGGCAGGTCCTGCTTCAAGGTCAAGGTTTGAAGACTGACGAATGAATAAGAAAAATCTTCAAAGGTTTTCGCAATAACTTTTTAAAAAATCGACGAAGGCATTGACAAGGTCCAGCGGTGTCTTCAAAACTGCTTTGCGAACTCGCAAAAATTCTCGTTAAGTTTTAATGTCCAAGCCATTTTTATTTTTCAAATTTTGCAAATGTTTTTGTCTTCTGAGAAGATTTCATCTAATGATGAGTTTGATTTTAGAAGTACTCTTGTATTTGATTTGATCTTGCATCGCGCTAATAGTAGTAATTTTTGACGCATTTATCTGAAATAGAAAATTAAGAATTTTTAAGACATTTTCTGCGCATTTCAGTTCTTTAAAAAATAGTCATAAAAAGTTTTTATTTCAAGTATACCATTATGCCAGACTGGTTTTTCTTCGCGCTTTTTGAAATTCTGTTGTACAAATATTTTTATTTATGCGCGCGCATCGAAGAGAACGAGCGACAAGAAGCGCACCTTTTCTGCTGTAGTTTGACCTTAGTTCCTACTTCAATTTTTAATCTCGTAATACGCTTTCCTTGTGCAATATTCAGTTTTCACAAGACAGTTGTTTTTAAATAACGGCTTCATTCATGTATATTGGAAAAACCTTTAGATTTTATCAGAAATGAAGACTGGGAAAGGAAAGGGTAAATAGTATACTACTAAGTAGCGAAGAGAGAACAGTTTTCAACTGCCTTACAACATGTACATTGTACGACACACCGTAATATCAAAATGGCATTTCATTCTTTTCTAGTAATCCCTTTAATCGTAACACGTATAAATATGGCTACTGTAAGATAAACGACTACAGGACGACTATGAATTTGGCGTATCGTTTCCCACTCAAACGAACATCGCTTGTACGATTCTAACAAACTTGAATTCATTGGCCAGATTTGTTAAAATCTGTACATTCGGTAACGTAATTTTTTGTATAATTATACACCAGCTTGGTTGGTGCCTTATTATTTGGGTTCCTGAGATGGAAGGCTAAAACTAATAAGCTCTTTTAATAGCATGTTTGAAAAAAGCATGAAACTTGTGCTTTTTAAATTTCCTCGTTAATATTTTTAGTCATGACCCAAGAGATAAGGCAAAGTATTCTTCTTGACGTCATCATGCTGGGCTTAGTGATTGATTTAGTGGCAAAATTGTGTGACTCGACAAACTGGCCATGAAATACGAATAGCCTTTTTCAGTTCGGTTGTAATGTTTTTTACTCTTTCAAACCACTTGTTATCCCCTAGAGAAGGGAATAGCATATGATCTGAGGGTAAAACATTACACATATGTGGGAGTGGGGGATGGGGGAATGGGAGACCTGAATATTTTTGCCTTTCGCTTCAAAAGGAATTCTGAATTTTAGAAGCTACCGAAGAGATTTTGTCTCTTTGATATAAATTGGGAGAGGATAAAGCTGAAAATGTCTATTCTTGAGTAGGGCAAAGCTGAAAGATATCAGTAAAATTTAAAATTGACATAAATCTAATTTTTTTGTAGCACAATTTTAATTGATCGAAAAGAGATTTCGTAGAAGTACAAAGCATGCGCAGTAACACGGCTCTTGTGTGCACTCAAGCTTCGTGATTGGATAGTTTTTTTCTTTTGATTTTATAATTTGTTTAAACGAATAGCCATCTAAGAGCCCTTTACCAAATGACTTACGCATCCCGGCCTTGTGGATAGTGTATTTTTGTCGTTTATAGATTGGTGCTGAAAGGGAAGCCATTCGAGAGTCGTGTTACTGCGAGGGCATGCCGCAAGGACGAAATCAGACTAGTAATTCTTATATAAACAATATCTCCGCTATATGTAACTTATCTGTAAAATATGAGTGTTTGAAAAACAATATATTAATAATATAATGTACATTTGTATAGATTGAAATAATTTTTAACATTTTAGTACAGTTTGGTCAATAATGGGGCTTCACATTGGGAAATTGAATGGGAAATAATCGAGGAATATTTTCATATTTTAAAACAAAATCTTAACCAAATGTATCATCTGATAATTCTTATCTCAAAAAAGTGGGATTTATCGTAAAAAAGCTACGAAAAGTGGGGTTTATTGTAAAAAAAAACTATGATGTCAATAAAGAATTCATAAAAAAGAAATCCTTCTGCAGAATTATTCATTTATCCTCTAATAAAGGAGTTTGGGTTTTATCCAGATGAAACTTCCGCGAGCTTCCCGCCAATAGGAAACCGCTGGCATCTTACAACGCTTCTCGGTTGTTTGATATGACGCGACAGAATCTTTTACATACGACGTTTTGTCGCATGTTGTGAGGGCAACAACAAAACCAAAATACTTGTCCAAGTTTTTGGGACCCATAAGTCCTTTCGGTCATTGTACCGTTACAGTCTCTAAGCGTGGAGACGGAACGGACGAGCGAGAGACTGTGGAAGAGTCTAACTTTGAGAATAGAGTCAGTTCCAAGAAATTGACCTAGTATTACCGCATGCGCAATATAGACCATTAATTTCAAGAAGAGAATGTTCTTGACTTCATTTTCTTACCACAATTAATCACTGAAAAATTATTATGCTTCACTAAGAGTAAAGAGTGAATTTTTAGTACTTTTAGGACTAACATCTTATAGCTTGTTTCAAAAACCAAGAGAAGAAGTAACACACAGTATTAACATTTAAATTCAGTCAAATTATTCTCTTTTGCAATTGGAGGAAATGAAATTGATAGCTCAAAAACATTCAAAAGAGAATATATAGTAATATAAAATAATAATAGTTTGCTAGCTTGACAAGTTAATATATGCGTTGGCATGCTTGG